CTCTCTCTCTCTCTCGAATCGTCCGTTTCAATCTGTAATTCACTGTCTAGCTTGTGTAAGAATTGATTTGCAAGTTTGAATTTGTCTGCATCTCAATAAATTTGTCTGCCAACAGTTTCATAGTTATGTTTACTTTTCTGAGGTGTTTTCTTTTTCTTTTCTATGTGAGATATTTATAAATATAGATAGGTATCATAAGCGTCATTGCATTGCACCTCATTAAATCAGAATATATATATAAAATTGTATGCATTGACAAAAACATAACAATAATTATTATCATTAACGATAATTATCGTTAGCATCTGGTTTAAATCAAACTTAGTCATGTTTAAATTAAACAAAATAGGTACTATACTATACTATTATACTATAATATATTTGTAAGTTTTTTCTTGTTCGATTACATAGACGCTCAGTGTATGGATAACCCTTGTAATAGCGAACGTCATGAAGAATATTGTATAGATTCAGGTTTCAGTTATTATTGTACTTGTGAAGTTGGATACGTGAATACAACTACAACCGGTGACTGCAAAGGTATGTAAAATACAATACATAAATAAAATGGTTATATTCGGGTCAAGAACAGGTTGCTCGCAGGCAACGCGTTTCTCTGAATTGCACTGACAGCAATTGTATTTTCCTTAATTCTGCATACCATTTCACCAAATGACCAATTGACGTTAATTTGTCAATTTTTGTTACTTACAGAATCAAAAACATTCAGGGTAGAGTCTACTATCGTAAATCTTGATGGAATGGAACAAGTGAAATGGACTGACGACTTAGAAGACAACACAACAAATATCTATAAAGAATATTCATCAGCTTTATCTAAATCTGTAAGTTTAATTAGTTAATTGATCATTGTACCATATGACCCACTAATATTAATAATAATAATAATAATGACAATAATAATAATAATGACAATAATAATAATAATAATATTGACAATAATAATAATTATGACAATAATAATAATAATGACAATAATAATAATGACAATAATAATAATAATGACAATAATAATAATAATGACAGTAATAATGACAATGACAGTAATAATGACAATGACAATAATAATGACAATGACAATAATAATGACAATGACAATAATAATGACAATGACAATAATAATGACAATGACAATAATAATGACCATGACAATAATAATGACAATGATAATAATAATAATAATAAATAGTAATAATAATAATATTAATAATAAATAATAATAATATTAATAGCAACAATGATAATAATCACAGTATTAATAATTATTATATTATTATTAATACATATAATATAATAATAATGATACTGATAACGCTAGTATATAATTGATGTTGTGTTCACAGGTTGACACTACGTTTTTAAGTAATTCTGACTATGTTGGTAACCACATCCTGGGTTACAAGGAGGGAAGCGTAATCAGCATTTTTACAGTATACTTTTTGCTTAATTCAAGTGTAAATGAAACTGATGTTACCACCTATCTTTTAAGCAATACAGATTTGCTTTTGATCAGTGTTGTTGGTAAGTACAGAAAGAAAAAACAAAATAAAAAATCTTTTATAGTCCCAATTATATAGGTAATATTTTATGGCAATATTATCTGAAGAATGGCATATCGTGCCATTAAACTGTTTAGTAATAAAATGTCTATTAGTCAAACTTATTGTTAAATCCCGTACTTTATTTCATTATCTTACTCATGTTTTTATGCAATGAATGACCAGTAAGATGAACTTTTCTTAATTAATGAAAAAGTATTTTTATATAATATACGTTTCTGTTCATTAAACCTACTTATTCTTTTCTTTTTTACGCAATAAGAGGTACACATGAACGACTTTTGCAAGGAACTTAACTGCATGAATGGTGGAACATGTATTGACAACATCCTGAAACCTTGCAAGTAAATAATAAAATAAATATCTATTTTAGTTAAAGTAATACCCTAATTTAATTCATATTCATGTTAATATCATTAAGGGTATTATGCGAAAATATATATAACACAAACGATTGTTTGCAACATGCATTGCAAGAATCCTGAAACCTTGCAAGTAAATATCATATTTAATTGGGCCTATCTGTTTTTGCTAAAGTAATACCCTATTTTAGTTCATATTCATGGGAATATCATTTAAGGGCATTATGCAAATATGTATAATAACAACATGCATTGCAAACATTATATACACAATATATAATTATTCAGGATTTTAACTTTCACTTATGTCTTTTCGTCGTCAGATGTCCTGACAATTATAGAGGAAGTTATTGTGAAAAATATGGTGGGTGCTTAATTATTATTAATAATGCTAGTTAAGTTATATAACACTTTATGAATTGTAAAATCGTTTCAAAACGTAAACATTGGAAACTAGAATAAACTGTTAAATGCTTGGTGGTTAAGATGCTTGCCTTCCAATCCTACGGTCCTGAGTTCAATTCCTCTTACGACTGAAAACAACTCCACTCCCTACTCATAATGAGGCCTGGTTTATGTAAGATATCTTGTTTGTCTTGTGAAGGATTTCCACTTAGTAAAGTGATTAAGTTCACTGTTCGGTATATCCTTAACCCTGAGTCTAAAGATGAAATAAATTGAAATAAATAAACATATAAATAAAAACTTAAGCACTGTCCCTACACGGCGTAGATGCCGACCAATCTGTGTCATCGATATAGCTTTCGGCTATGTATGTTGCTTGGTATTTTAAGTTTACGTTTATCAATCTTTCAAAAGTATTCACAAGTCCGTCGCCAACAGTTTTGGAAACAGGCAGTCCTATTGCCGATGTCGGAATTGACGTCATTGTCATCTTGTACATCGTTTTGGGTGTGCTTCTGGTTGTAATTTTAACGGCGCTGATTGTTTACTACTGTGTCATTCGTAAACGATTAAAACAAGAATCTTCGATGTCATTAGAAGGGGTTTTCCGTCCGCTTAACAGTGACAGATTTGCAAGTGGCAGTGAAACATTAACTGTCTCTGATGTCTCGAGCTCATCGCATTATGAAAACTTGCAGCATCAAAAGAAAGCAGTCCAAAGTTCCTTGAATCCCAATGTAAGTAGCAGTGGCAGATTCAAGGGAAGTAGGGGGCATTTTTTGAAAATTTATAATGGAGAAACAAAGCAAATTATATGAAAATTTGAAGTCTGCAAAATCACGAAGACTCGCATTCAATTCGAACCGCTGTAGGAAAAGATCTAAATTCTCACCTACAGACCCAGAATATGTGTCGGATAAATAACCTTCATATTATTTACTAGCCAAATTTCACATTCCGGAATCAATTGCTTTCATTAACGTATGAAAAACGGGTTCTCCACCATTATTATGCCGTTCAGTACATTGAAATAATGACAACAACTACAAGTTACTTAAATCATACTTTAATAATCAACATGGCCTGTGCAAAACAACAACATCATCATACACCGATCTGTCGACTTTAACAATGGACCTTGTGCCACCCGCTCAAAGCCTTTTTATTCCAGCACATAATTAGCTTAATTTATTCAACAGGTGAATCAAATAATCACACATAACAAATTGATATACCAGCTCCATCACAGTGTATCGGGGTGCTACAGACAATCTATTTGTGAATGCTCTACCCTTCCCTCCCCCCCCCTCTATTTCAAATATCACCATTATCAATATCATCATCATCAAAATCATCGTTATCGTCGTTGCCACTACTGCCGTCTTCATTATTATTATTATTATTATTATTATTATTATTATTATTATTATTATTATTATTATTATTATTATTTATATTATTATTATTATTATTATTATTATTATTATTATTATTATTATCATCATCCTGTTACATTCCATTGCTGAATAAAGACTATTTGTTTGTGTTTGTGTTTTTATTCTCTTCATCTTGCCTATTATTATTAATATTACTTTATTATTATTATTATTATTATTATTATTATTATTAGTAGTAGTAGTAGTATTATCATCATCAATATTAATATTAAAATTTTGAAATATTTTTACAGATGGGCATGCTTGAAAGCATTACCAACGACAATTCAAGCACATTGGAAATTCAACTTACTGATTTTTCAAAAATAACAGCTAAGATGGGAAATGTTGAGACGGAAAGAGATTTTGTGGTATTTATTATTGATAACTCTATTATTCAAATTAATGAATAATAAGTAAAGAAGTATAATATACTGCTAGTAATGTTACTTGGCCTACTAATGTAACACTAATGTATATAGGAAAAAATGAATACCGGTATGAAAAATAAATAAAATAACTGAAGCCAATGAAATCATACATTAGGTCTACGGAGTTATCAAATAATAATTAGTGCGAAAGCGAATAGGCGTTATGATGATGATCATCATGATCCCGATGATAAGTAGGTTGGTGGTATTGAAATGCTATAATTATATATGATAACAAACATAATATTGTGTTTGTGGGCTACAAAATTGTTCTTCTTAATTCCTTAATCCGTCCTGTTATTATAATTAAATATTATTATAATTTCGTCATTTTTAATTCGATTGCAAAAATTTATGTTCACTGTCTCGAAAGATTTTACACACGTTTTCTTAGGTTTGTTTTATATAATGACAATGATTATGAATGTAATTTACTTTCTCCTTCGTCGTAGAAATATAAATGACCTTAAATTTCTTTAGAAAGTGGTTAACCATCGTTTTGATTGCAACCTTGCCCTCGCTTTTAGTTTGTGTTCCTAAACATTGTCTGAGACGAGCTAATTTATTTTCTGTCCCTTTTGGTAGAGTTGATCATATTAAGAAAGGATTTATTTGTAGATTAAGTAAATATCAATATTGATTGTGTGATGATTAACTAATTATCATACACATATATTTTCTTGTTCACATTAAGGCTGCTGTTTCAATGGTAGACAGCGAATCTACTAGTATTGCTTCTCAATCCGAATCAATAGTACTTGCCAATTTCACGTTGAAAGATGACGACGACGAAAATAAACCAAACTATGCTCTGACACACACATACTTTTGGTAAGTTTTAATTAAATTTGGTGGTTCGCCACAAAAGAGAGAAAAAAGTTTTGATTGGATGCGTATGCTCTGTACGGTCTTAGTATAAGCTGAGGCCAGTATCCAGAGGTGACGGAACTAGAGGGTTATGGAGAGTAATGTGTGACCGGAAATGGTCTGCAGTCAGTTGGTTGTTACCATGCGCCAGTGATGTTGGAGTATATAGTCTGTCTAGAATTTTCCCAACGGGGGGGGGGGGGGGGTGTTGGAGGGGGTCCGACACTAACATCATGACGTATGGTATTGATATTCATGACTTTGATAATAATGGCGTATTTATACTCATGACGTACGGCATTGATATTTGCAACTTATTGATATGGTTTCACATCAAACATTTAAATATAAAAACAATTTTCTTTCTTTGCAGATAATTTTCAGAAGACGAAATCTTAATCCAGACAATAGGCCTAAACCAAAATTAATTTCAGAAATAAACCCACATAGGCCTAAGTAATATTGGTATTGGTGGGCATTCATAGAGCGCGTAATAGAGAGTCTCTATTGCGCTATAGGCAGTGTACGTCTTTGAGGAAAAGTGCAAAAGAAAACAAAAGAAAAAAAAAACACAAAAAAGCAAAATAAGATATTATAAAGCATTGACTAGGTGGGTCTGAAGTCTCTCTTTGAAGATAGAAGGAGATGGAGACTCAGAGACATGAGCAGGTAGACAATTCGTGGCCAGCAATCATGAAAGCCCGCACTCCACAAGACTCAGGCGGTCTGGAGTGAAGAGAGTATTGTGACTGGTGGTGGATCTAAGAGAACGAGAACAAGTGTAGTTGTATAAGTTCTAAAATGTACTTCGCAGAGTGATTGTATACAACTTTTTATACAAACAAAAAGGTTTTAAAAGTTATGTGATGCTTGAAAGCGAGCAATAAAGGGCACGGAGTGTGGGAGTATTATGCTGAGTGTGGGTGTCTCTGCAAGAAGACGAGAAGCTGCAGCCTCCTTACTAATAATTCAGTAGGAAGACTATAAAGGATTACACCATTACAATTATAGACAAGTCTAGATGTAATAAGAGCATGCATTAGCTTTGAGGCAAGATCTTTATTAAAAAATCGTCTTATATGTCCATGTTGCGAATATTAATATGATACAACCTTACAGGTTTTAATAATGTGCTGCTTCGTGGGCATTCCAGGGTCCATTGTCGCTCCATCGATACGAACCTCGGTCGAAGGAATGTTAATGGAATCACCAGTACTTTGTACAAAAAGAATAATTAACATTCCAAGTATTTTTTTGAGAAAAACATATTTATTTAAAGAAATAGTTATCATTATACCAAAGAGTATAGAATTGCTTAATTGCTAGTATCCAGACGCAATTGACCGTCTAGGGTCGATGTTACATACCAGGGTAAAGGTTTTTCTTTTATCTGCTGAAGTAATAATGATATAAAATAGTTAACCAAATGCAGAAAACTAGATGTTTGAACTAACGAATGAGCTTAAGATGAGAAATTACAGCGGACACTTGAAGACCGTCTGTCGATGTACGCCGATCATATGGTTTTGTTTTTAGATGGCTCGATGCAATTTATGTACAAAGTCATTTATATTTTAGATACATTTCCATTTTTTTGTAATGATAAGTTCGATGACATAATAACGGTTTTGGGAGTATAGAATTGTGGAAATATATATGGTTACAGAACAAAATTAATTATAATTGAAATTTTGATACCGTATGTTTTTATCTCTTTGATATTTATATATGTCTTATATTTCTTGTTTATATAGTGAAATTTAATCGATTTTTTCGACTTCATATATAAAAATAAAATGATAAAATTATCCCGGTTTCTAAGGTTTTTCTTTTTGTTTGTATGAATTGTATCTGTATATTTTGTTGAATGAATCATTATAATGTTTGTTGATTTATTATTGGTCAAAAACTTACCGGTTTTCGAAATAATCACATTGTCGAAATCACTCTCTAAACTAAATGTCTTGATTTTATCCTTGCCATATTTTTCATAAAGCTTTATCAAAGACTTGAATGGTCTTTTGTATAAATTTACATTATAAAAAGACAAATCATCCAAGATATAGCCTACACTAGCGAATGGTTTACATTCAAAATCAAATGAACTTTCTTAAAAAAAAAGGTCTAATATAAATGGTTTATATAATAAATTTACGGCAATTGTAGACATACATTTTGCGTCTTTCTACCAGAACAGAAAAATATGTATGACATTTTTAAAAGATATTTTGGCAGATATAAAATATTTATTGGTCATTTTAGTCGATAGCATAAAATACGTCTACCGTGAAAATATTATCATTATCAATGACTAATATACAGTTTTAGTTTTGTTTATTAGATATAGGGCTTTATCTATTTTGTTTGACGAATTGATACATCGATTTTTGTAATTGTACGTGTATTCGCAATTATATACCTGTCTCTTATACACATCTAGATGTGTATAAGAGACAGGATATTTGCAACTTATTGATATGGTTTCACATCAAACATTTAAATATAAAAACAATTTTCTTTCTTTGCAGATAATTTTCAGAAGACGAAATCTTAATCCAGACAATAGGCCTAAACCAAAATTAATTTCAGAAATAAACCCACATAGGCCTAAGTAATATTGGTATTGGTGGGCATTCATAGAGCGCGTAATAGAGAGTCTCTATTGCGCTATAGGCAGTGTACGTCTTTGAGGAAAAGTGCAAAAGAAAACAAAAGAAAAAAAAACACACAAAAAAGCAAAATAAGATATTATAAAGCATTGACTAGGTGGGTCTGAAGTCTCTCTTTGAAGATAGAAGGAGATGGAGACTCAGAGACATGAGCAGGTAGACAATTCGTGGCCAGCAATCATGAAAGCCCGCACTCCACAAGACTCAGGCGGTCTGGAGTGAAGAGAGTATTGTGACTGGTGGTGGATCTAAGAGAACGAGAACAAGTGTAGTTGTATAAGTTCTAAAATGTACTTCGCAGAGTGATTGTATACAACTTTTTATACAAACAAAAAGGTTTTAAAAGTTATGTGATGCTTGAAAGCGAGCAATAAAGGGCACGGAGTGTGGGAGTATTATGCTGAGTGTGGGTGTCTCTGCAAGAAGACGAGAAGCTGCAGCCTCCTTACTAATAATTCAGTAGGAAGACTATAAAGGATTACACCATTACAATTATAGACAAGTCTAGATGTAATAAGAGCATGCATTAGCTTTGAGGCAAGATCTTTATTTAAAAATCGTCTTATATGCCCATGTTGCGAATATTAATATGATACAACCTTACAGGTTTTAATAATGTGCTGCTTCGTGGGCATTCCAGGGTCCATTGTCGCTCCATCGATACGAACCTCGGTCGAAGGAATGTTAATGGAATCACCAGTACTTTGTACAAAAAGAATAATTAACATTCCAAGTATTTTTTTGAGAAAAACATATTTATTTAAAGAAATAGTTATCATTATACCAAAGAGTATAGAATTGCTTAATTGCTAGTATCCAGACGCAATTGACCGTCTAGGGTCGATGTTACATACCAGGGTAAAGGTTAGATGTGTATAAGAGACAGGCGTTATGATGATCATCATCATGATCCCGATGATAAGTAGGTTGGTGGTATTGAAATGCTATAATTATATATGATAACAAACATAATATTGTGTTTGTGGGCTACAAAATTGTTCTTCTTAATTCCTTAATCCGTCCTGTTATTATAATTAAATATTATTATAATTTCGTCATTTTTAATTCGATTGCAAAAATTTATGTTCACTGTCTCGAAAGATTTTACACACGTTTTCTTAGGTTTGTTTTATATAATGACAATGATTATGAATGTAATTTACTTTCTCCTTCGTCGTAGAAATATAAATGACCTTAAATTTCTTTAGAAAGTGGTTAACCATCGTTTTGATTGCAACCTTGCCTTCGCTTTTAGTTTGTGTTCCTAAACATTGTCTGAGACGAGCTAATTTATTTTCTGTCCCTTTTGGTAGAGTTGATCATATTAAGAAAGGATTTATTTGTAGATTAAGTAAATATCAATATTGATTGTGTGATGATTAACTCTTTTACAAATCAAAATGTGTATGTGAGACAGTATATATATATACCTAATATATTTCATCTCCAATTATTTTATTAATACTTAAGGTAGGTATATTGATTATATAAGTATACAGTACTACATGTCCCACCATTAAGGATGTACTTTATATGTTTTCAAAAAAACGTCAATTGCTATGAACTTATAAGGTTTTTTTTCGCGTATTCAATTTAAGCTGTAATTTAAGCTGTGTATTTTTTTTTTTATATAAATCTGTGGTTTCCAAATATAGAGAAGCACACATAATTATGTAGGCATTTTTTCATAATACAATACTGATTAACTGTATATAGTATTTATTGTATATATCATACTGATATAGTTTTAAATACATAGTATAATCTTTGGTTTTATATATTTTATAATTTATTATGAACGTATAATAATTTAATGAAAAATGAAACAAACAAAATAATTATGTGAATTAATGTGGACTATTTTGTTGGCGAATTCATAATTCGCCTGATACGCTTTTGTGTCATTTTCATAATATTATCAATACACATGTAAGCTGACGCGCGCTGTTACTAGACAGCGTGCGTTCGTTCTATGACAACGTGTGTTCCTACGACTAATGACGTTTAGTGCGCGCGAATACATGTTAGTAGCCTATGGTTACTTACAACCAAACAAAAGTAATCGAGGCATAATACTTGTAATAACGTTTACTCTGAAATTAGCACTAAAATCGATGATGGAATCGCGAAAAGTCGAAAGGTAAATCACTGAATTTATATCCGATGTTATAATAATAAACGTCTTAACCTGTAGAAAATAGTATAAAGTATTTAGAAACTATAATTTTGGGGTTTTGGAGAAGATATCGCATACAGTATCGGATACAGATGCGATATCATGTAAAGCCACAGCGCGCAATGCGCCCAACGAAATATTTTTTACCAAGATTAAAATAATATTAACATTAAAAATTTTAATAATTGTTAACATTATTATAGCAAAATTGTAATAATTTTAGTATTATAAATTTATCATAAAATTCTATATCATTGATTGTAGATCGTCAAAAGATCGTGATGACCGTAGGCATAGACTGAGTGGTAAAGAACGCGACTCAATATCACATGGTATGGCTAAGTACATGGACACTACAGCCCGTTTACCAGCCGCCGATATGCACCAAGCAGGTATTGCACCATCATCATCATCAGCAGCAGCATTATCATTGTCATCATCATTATCATCATCGTCTTCATTATTACTATTGTTATCATTATGAATACTATTGTAATTACTACAATTATCTTTATCAAAATCATAATCTTTAAAATTATTATTACTATCCATATCATCATTATCAGTATTCTAATCTATATCATTATAATTATCATAATAATTTTTATTATTTTATAATGCACAGGCTCAAGTGAGTCTTCAGTTGACAACGGCCGTGACGCTTTATCAAATTTTGTCAGCGATTACAAAAAGAAATCTTATGCAAAATCCAACAAGCGTCGTGAAAGAAGTCTCCTAGATTTAGCCAATCCATCTGGGCAAGTAAGTCCTCTTTTTAAAAGAATCGAACGTCGCAGCTCTGGTCCAACTGCTGGAAGCAACGACATGTCTGTTGTAAAATACAGCTCTGACGAAGAATGGGCACTTTCTGACCCAGAACGAAAAATATCTGATGGAAGCGGGCGATGTAGTATCAACAACACCTTCTTGCCAGCCATCCAAGCAGCCAGTAGGCCATCACTTGTTAACCAAGCTCTGGGAAGTGATATCAAACGTCCATCGAAAAATGGTATCAACGTTGGCCGTCGTTCGTCAGCAGAAATGGAAGCTATGATGAGAAAGAAGATGTCCAAGCCAACACCAAATGGTACTCGATTTATTTGCAGGCCACAGCAGAGCCAACGTCTGCTCAAGAGGCGCATCAGTGTCGAAGACACCAACTCCTTACTGCCATCCGTGTCTGCTTCAAGGTATGCTACAAGTAGATCCGATAACAACCGAGCTACATGGGCAAAACGTTCAAATGGACTTAAGCCCCTAAAGATGGCACCTCGACCACCTGACCTGCCACGACCTCAAGATCAGAGCTCTAGCTTGATGCGACATCACAAAGGAAGCAAGCATTAGGTGACATATTTCCCATTCTCTGTCTTCCCAAATACGTCTTCCTAAATCACCAAAAACTTGCCATCTTTTGTAAATGCTTGTAAATTAATTTTCTTTAATTATTTAAATACCGATTTCCAAAAGTAGTATTATTAACATTTTTTCTTTCTCAAAATAGTTTTATAATTGCAAAACAATTAGTAGAAATTAATTTTAAAGCAGGTAAACATTTTCATTAATATGTGTAAAAAAATTGTTAAACAAGCCGGTAAGGAACTGTTGACAACAACAATGGTAATTGGAAATGGTGGAGCATTGAAAGGTTGGTATAGAACTTTAACATCTTGAGATTTCGGATAGTGCTGGGTGACAGATTTGAAATGCTTAGTTCAAAAGCCAATATTTAAAACACAAAGAGATATTGTTTCTACATCATAATTAGGATATAAATCAAATGTATTGAGTGTTATTTTATGTAATCTCTATCTCTCTATCTATCAGTCTACTTAGACTTAGTAACTAAT